TAACGTCATCGTCGTCGTCGTCACGTCGGCGTCGGCGTCGGCGTCTTCGTCGTCGTGGTCGTTGGCGTCGTCCCCGTCGTGTCGCCGTCACGTCAGCCTCGTCGGCGTCGTCGTCGTCGTTACCGTCGTCGTCGATGCCGTTGTCGTCGTCACGTCGCCGTCGTAGTCATCGTCACGTCGTCGTCGTCACGACGTCGTCGTCACGTTGCGGCGGAATCGTCTCGTCGCCGTCGTCGTCCTCACCTCGTCACGTCGGCGTCGCCGACGTCGTCACTTCGTCGCCGCCGTCGTCGTCGTCGGCCTTGTCGTCGTCGTCACATCGCCGTCCTCGTCGTCACGTCGGCCTCGTCGTCGCCACGACGGCGTTTGCGGCGTCGTCGTCGTCAAACGTCGGCGTCGGCGCGTCGTCGCCATCATGTCTGCGTTTTCGTCGTCGTCGTGGCCACCGTCGCTGTCAGCGTCGTTACGTCGTCGTCGGCGTCGCCGCCGTCGTCGTGACGTCGGCGTCGTCGTCGTCACGTCGTCGTCGTCGGCGTCGGCGTCGGCGTCGGCGTCGGCGTCGGCGTCGGCGTCGTCGGCGGCGTTGGCGTGTCGGCGTCGGCGTACGCGTCGGCGTCGTCAGCGTCGTCGTTGTCGTGGTCGTCGTCCTCGTCGTCGTCGACGCCACGCCGTAGTCGTCACGTCGTCGCTGCCCGCCGTCGGTCCTCAACGCGCCCGTCGGGCCACCGCTTGACGGCCCGCACGCGGACGAAGCGCGCGCCCGAGCGGTCGCGCCACGGCTCCCGGACGGTGGTGGTCTCGGCCTGGGGAACGGCCCGAGTAGAGGGCAGAAAAAACACCTGATAATAGGCACCCCGACTCAGGAAGCTATTTAGCAAACGCACCTGAGGAAGGGATCGAACAGGGCGGGGCTGTTTAGTAATCGCCCACGGTTGTTTAATCAACGCTCGCTGTGGGGGGCGGCGGGGGCATTCTTCCTCCCTCAACGGAAGCAAGCGACAATAGGACCAGACACGTAGGAGGTGGCACAATCGGCGGCGCGCCGGGGGGGGGGAGAGGGGGCACGCCCTTCTCAGGAGGCGGCGGGGTTTCTCAAAGCCGCCCGGCCTTCTCGAAAGCCCTCTGCGTCTTCGGAGAAGGCCCAGAAAGCTTTTCACAAGGCCAGAGGCCTTCTGAGCCTGGCGCGAAGGTCAGCGCTGCGTTTTCCCCCCTGGTCGCGCCGCCTCTGCGATGTGCGACAAATCGACACCCACAACCCTCCAGCAGCACCGCTGCCGTCGCGCTGCGGTGCGTGCCGCTAGCCGCCCAGACAGCCAAACGGACAACCTCTACCTCACACCGTCCGATTTGGAAACAGGGTATTGTTCGGAGATTCTGGAAGAGGAAGCTTCGCTGGACGGGAGTGGCAACGTCGAAACATCGACTTTCACGATGTCGGTGCCGAGTGCCCTGGAGGGGGGGCCGAAGAAACTCTCGCGGCCCACAGCAGCCAGAGCTCGCCGCGGTCGAAGCGGCGCGCAAGAGGCTCGCCGCGGTCGAAGCGGCGGGCGGCGCAGCAGCGAACTGCGCCTGCACAGGGAGGAAGAGAATAGGAAGGCACAGTCCAATACGTCCCCTGGAAGCCTCGTGTGGCGACCAGGGGGTCCAGTTCGTGCAGGCGCAACGGGTCTGCCCGCCAACACGGGAGCAGCTGCTTGCGCAAAGAGCGCATGCTGAACATGCAGGGCCCCGCCTGTCTGCACACCAACCGAGCACGCGAGCAGAGGTCCACACGTGGTGCCAACAGGCGAGGGAAGGCCACCCAAGGGATCACCCACTGCGCACGAAGGGCAGGCAAGCAGCGGCCCCACCGCGAGGCGGCAGCGGGGCCCAAGGGAGCCAGGCAAGCCCCACGACTTGCGCAACACCCCGAGGACCTCCGTCAGCTCGGCAGCGGGGCCAGGGCCCCGTCACATCTTGCTGTTGTCTATCCAGCGGCGCCGTGGGCCACGCGGCGGAAAGGAAAGCTGAACGGGCCCCACGCGTCGTCAATGGTAGTAATTCGCCGGCCCAACGGGCCAGAGGCGTGCTAAGATCTCCGGTAGCTACTTAACAGTATTTCTGGTTCGCGCGCGCGGGGCGGCCCCTGGGGGGCCCCAGGCGAAAAGTACCCCGGCTGGGTCCCGGGCGATCCCCAGGGGGGAGGCTATTTTTCGCGACCCCTCACGAGGATCGTGGCCTCCGAAGGGGGGGCTGCAATCGACTACCCCCCCTCCCGCCCCACGGGGCCCACAAGAGCCCCCCGAGAGGCCCCAGGGGAGCCCAATACGCCGCCAGGGAGCCCCAAGACGCTCCCAAGAAGTCCCCAAGAAGCCCCCAAGACGGCCCCAAGAGGCCCCAAATAGCGCTCCAGGGCTGGCGGAATGAGCGAAGCGATTACATGAAAAGAACAAACTTCATCAAGGGAAACGTTGGAGGTCCGCGCGGGATTCTTGGGTCCGCGCTGGACCCCCTCCCTGGCGCGCCTCTGGCGCACGAGGGCAGCGCCGGAGGCGCCGCCAGGGAGGCCCAGCGCCGATCCAAGAGATCCGCGCGGAGCGTCGAACATCTATGTTTATGCCGTGCGTTGTTCTTCGCATTCTTCGCATATTCTTCGCATTGTTCTATGTCTATGTCCACTATTCTTCGCATTGGGACCCAGATCTCATCGAAAACGTCGCCCTGAGACGAGGAGGAGAAGGAGAAGGAGGAGGAGGAGGAGGAAACAAAAAGAGGGTGAGGCGGAGGTTGAGGACGTTGACGACGCTTGCGACGACGACGACGACGACGACGACGACGAGGACCAGGACAAGAACGAGGGCTACTGCGGCACGCGCTTGCGCGGTCGGCCTCGCACGCGCGAGCGAGGGCCACGGCGCGCTGGAGCAGGCGCGCGTAGAGGCCCTGCTGCATCAGGGCGGCGAAGGCACCTCTTCGCGGGCGTCGTCGTCGTCGTCGGAGGAGGAGGAGGAGGAGGAGGAGGAAGGGGAGGAGGAGGAGAAGGAGGAGGAGGAACAGGAGGGGGGAAAAGAACCAGAGTACACCCAAGATCAACAATGCTGCAATACGCCCACCCGTCCCCAAGCACCCACCTCAGAAGCCCTTACAAGAATCCCTTTTCACAGCTGGAGCCCCCTGAAACCCTCGCGCCCCATGGTCCTACAATGCGGGCGAGAGCCCTGACTTGAAAACGAGCTGCCGTCCATGCTTCTGGCGAAAGGGCGGCGACGAGGTAGGATCAGAACGTCCAAGGGAGTGTCCTATGAGGGCCCTGCTTTGAAAAAGAGCCGCCCTCAATCCGCCCAAGGTTCTTCGACTGTAAAAATAGATGGTCGTAAACCTGGACGAAGTATCCAGCGACCGATGTGAAAATGAGCCGTCAACAATGCTGCATGTATGCTGAACAGGTGTTACCAACAGTAGAACTCAAGATGCAAAATCTAACGAATTTCGGCGATTGCAGGGTCGTTATGAACCCCATATTGGGGCTCTCAGTCCCCTGGCCTCGTGTATGGCCCTGGTGCTGCACAGTGTTAGGCTTCTGGTCCTAAATACTCAAGAAATTCCGAAAAATAGCCATGCTTTGATACGGAAGCCTCTCCATGCAGGTAATTGTTGGCAACATTAAAGGCGAATGCGCGCGGCGCTAAGGAAAGAGCCACATGTTGAGAGAGAGAGGGGGAGGGAGAGAGAGAGAGAGAGAGAGAGAGCGAGAGAAAAAAGAGAAAGAGCGACAGACAGAGCGATAGAATGCAACTGTTGGCAAAATTTGGAGAATGTGCAAGGAACGTGCGCGGCGATATGGCGAGAGCCACACGTTGTGAACAACACGCCCCCCCCCCCCCCCGTCCGTGTAACTGCTAGAAACGCTTCTTTGAACCGAATGTGCGCGGCTACGGGGAGAGCCACATTTTGAAAAACGCTTCCCTCCATCAAGGTTGCTCTTAGAAACGTAAAGGCGAACGTGCGCGGCGCCAAGGCGAGAGCCAATTTACCCACCCCCCCTCCACCCGTGTAATCGTTAGAAATTTGGAGCTTCGAGGTCGCGAGGGTGAAACCAGTATCGCGTTGTCTTCAGACGCGTTCTCCTCATGGATATTATTATCGTTCATATGATCATGAACCTTATACAAACAATTATGATATGAGTATGATTCCGAATACAAATATTCATGATAGAACCATCGTTGATCCTTGTATAAGTAGTAGTGGTAGTAGTAGTGTTAGTAGTAGTAGTAGTAGTAGTAGTAGTAGTAGTAGTAGTAGTAGTAGTAGTAGTAGTAGTACTAGTAGTAGTAGTAGTAGTAGTAGTAGAAGTAGTAGTAGTAGTAGTAGTAATACTAATATGAATAATAACAATAGTAGTATCAATAAAAGTAGTAGCAGTGGTAGTAGTAGTAACAATAGCAGTAGAAGTAGTAGCACCCTTATCGTTAGCATTAGTATTGTTAGTACTAGTACTAGTACTAGTAGTAGTAGTAGTAGTAGTCGTAGTAGTCGTAGTAGTCGTAGTAGTAGTAGTAGTAGTACTTGAGTAGTAGTACTAGTAGTAGTAGTAGTAGTAGTAGTAGTAGTAGTAGTAGTAGTAGCAGTAGTAGTAGTAGAAATAGTAGTAGTAGTGGAGGTGGTGGTAGTGGTAGTGTTAGTAGTAGCAGTAGTAGTAGTAGTAGTCGTAGTAGTAGTAGTAGTAGTAGCAGTAGTCGTGGTAGTGGTAGTAACATTCGGAATATTACGATTACTACTACTACTACTACTACTGCTACTACTACTACTACGACTACGACTACGACTACTACTACTACTAATAATAATAAAAATACGAATACTACCACCACGACTGCTACGCCTACTACTACTACTACTACTACTACTACTGCTACTAGTGCTGCGATTTCTCCTACTACTACGACTACTACTACTACTACTACTACGACTACTACTACTACTACTACTACTACTACTACTACTACTACTACCACTAC